CCTTTCCAGCTCTTTAAGGGGTCATTCCAATGATTTCTGGGCCACTTCTCTCCTGGTATGGATGGCACACATCTTTGTTTCTTTCATATACTCCGTGTCGACTGCGCTGTGTCACAGAGGGCTATCTCTACAGGGAGACAAAGGTGTTTCAGAAATGCCACCCTTGCTTTCAGCCCTGCTGCTGAGGGGAATGTGCGTGCAGCTGGAGACAACCCTAGTCCCAGGGCAGCCAGTGGATTGTGTCTGCAGCACTTACGGGTGCAAATGAGGTAGGCGAGTTCAGTTCAAATCCTCAGCACAACTTATTAACATGTTTTTGTTTTAAAAAAAACTTTCTTAAAGAATGATACAGTATATGGTCAGTCATTTTGTGAGCTCTGCTTAATTAGCTTGCTGGTACACCTGTAACTTTGGACCCTCTTTAATAGATTAAAGTATGAGTCTTTCTGGATACCTCCATGTACATTCAGCTCTGGGGCTGTTTGCTGAGAGCACAGACATTGGGATGGCAGATTTCTGTTCACACCTCAAATAGGCTGGACTATTCACAGTGCATAGAATTTATGAAATAGAAATCTATACCTCAGGAAATTAATTTAGTACAAATTTTTGTTTTATGCTGCCTGATACGGTTCCACTTGAGTCTAGTCCTTTGGGATTACATAGTGGAAAAGCTGGATGGGAACTGATATGTGTTCCTTTTTCCTGGAACAAACTCTCTGGACCTTCCCTCTGCCACTTTCCATGGGAATTAGAAAATAAGTTGCTTAAGGCAAGTGACATTAATTCCTGATCAAACTCAATAAATTTGAATTTGGACATTATTTTGAGGCCAGTGAGCCTGTGACATGATAGATTTTAAAATCCTTTGCCTTGGGATCTATATAGTCCTTTTTAAATGGATCATGAGTAGCTGTTGTTAATGAAACACTTGTGTCTGGAAGATTTTTATACCGTGTGACCCCACTCCATTGTGCTGAGCAGTTACAGGAAAATAATTGTGCCTTTTTCCGTGATTTTTTCAAGCTGTCTTCTTTATGAAAGGCACACTGATACTTAAAGTATTCTGAAATAGATGTCAAAGCCTATAGTCATAGCCACACTTGGAGATCCTACTGAAGCCTAAGGCAGTTTTCCTTGCAAAGCAGCCTCAGGATTATGCAGGACGCATGCCTGGATTAGGAGGATCAGGGGGCACCTTGGCCTGTGTGCCCTCCGAAAGGAATGGGGTTCTGCCCTGTGGAGCAGTGGAGCAGCCGCACTCGGCCTTTGCAGGTGCCATCCCTGCTGTTCAAAGGCATTTACAAAGACTCTGTCTGATCTCATCCTCATTGCCCATTTGCTTCAGTGAGGTGACAGCAAATAAGGCTGTTGAAGCAGCCCTGAACTGTATAAATGGAGGAATTCTGATTTTTTGTAGTGAATACGCCATCAATTTCAAACAGAAAATTTTACCACTTCAGCTTGCTGCCAGCTGTATAAATCACTTGGAGGACATATGGGAAGGTAACTCAACTCACTGTGACATTGCTTCATTAAGCATTTGCTTATTGATAAATATTGATTTCAAGTATAAGTCAGATTTAAACAAAAAATAATAATGCTATTCTTATCATGTTTCTGTAAAAAGGTGCACCAGAATTTGGTGATATGTTTTATAGTTAAATTCACAGTCTCTATAGATATTTTATTCTCCATTAGCAGCAGTATGCCTGAATTAACCTTCAGTGAAAAGATTCACGTGACATATAACGTGCTTGAAAGACGTTTGATTTAATTACTGCTGTTGCATGTGCTTATGTACCAAGTGCACGTTTCGTGTAAATTCTCCCAGGTGCTTATCTTCAGAAGGTTTGATTCAGGGAGACACAGTTTCTGGGTTTATAAACTGAATGGTTAAGTAGAATAGCCCTGATTTAAGCTGTGTGTGTTTCCCTACTGCTAAAACAAAACCAATGAAGGAAGTGCAGTTTACCTATTTTCGTTGCATATGGAAGTTTTATTTCAAAGAAATCTCCTTTCCTCTTTCTCACTCTATTTCGTGTTGCCAGTGCTGTGTCRTTTTGGGAATAGTTGATACAAATTGTGCTTTTTGTTTGTAGAATTCACTAGAAATACGCACTGGTAGGTTTTCACCTTAGTCTAGAAGTCTGATTAATCTTGGTGTCTTGCTTGTTACATGTGAGAAAACCAAAGGATAGATTTAATGTGCCTTGCCTGTTGTCTGGAAATGATTAGATAAAAACCAAGGATTTCTAACAGCCAGATGTGTTCACAGAGCATCTCTGTCTTATGACAGACATGATCAAAATATTACATAGAACAAGCAGTAGAACAAGTTCCCATAAATATTGGTCACAGGTGGAGACTGGCTTGTGGTTTTGTGGGCTTATTGGAGAAAACCGGGCTTTTCTAAGCTTCTTGTAATTACTTGTTTTCTTTTGTTGGACCCCAAGTCTGTTGCCCTTATCGAGTCCTACTCGCAATTCTGCTGTTCTTGGGATACTGAGCTTCACTGCGTGTGATTACTTCAGCCCAGTTATCTCTCACATCTCGATTTCCAACACTACTTCCCCTTCAGTCAGAACAAAACATAAATTAGTCACTTTCCTAGTAACCTTTTAACTTCCTAAAACAACAAATATCCTTATCTTTCCCCAGTAACTGTGTCTTGCTTGGTTTTTCATTGAGTGCCTGGGTTTAAGAAATCTTCTATTGTAGCCTCATACTCTGATTTTTGGGCAGCTGACATGGCTGATTAAGGAAAAAAAAAAAGTCAGCTTGGCCTTAGAATTGTATAATACGCAATTCGCTTTGACTTCTTTCCCATGTTTTTGTTGGGGATTTCAGTTTTCACTTTATTTTAAATTCAGTTCAGGTGATCATTAAGCTTTTCTTGAATTTCAGAATAAATGCTTTGCACCTGATAGATGATATAACTGCCTTACTCTTTCTTCTTTGCTCTGGTTGTCACCTTCTGTGCTACTGTTCCAGTGAGTTATCACGAGGAGTTTTTGTGGTGCTGAACAGGCCATGCTGCAGAACATCTCACATTGTTTTATATTTTTGGAATTCATGGGTGTCTATGGTGTGTGTTGAAACATCTGGATGTCTTTGTTTCTTCTGTGACCCTATTGCTTCCTTGATTCTATCTCTAAGACAAAGTTACAGTAATTTGATTTGAGAGGATTTTTCTCATTAGTTCTCTCAAAAATTGCAGTATTTTTGCTGTTGCTGAGCTAGTACTTGGAGCTGCAGCTCCATCTCTGTGTTTTCTGCATCCCTTTCCCTTGACCCGGATGTCCCAGCTGGGAGGATGACAGCCCTGCTGCTGACCATGCGTGTGCAGCCAAGTGCATCCGCCGCTGCGTGGGCCTTCACACCTGACGGGGAATTGGAGAGGAGCCACCTGTGTCCCTAGCAACTATAGCGATTCCCTGGAAATGGAATTTTTATCTCTATTACGGCCATACGTGGCAATGACGTTAGTGTCCTGTGACTAGGAAGCATGGGGTGGAGGACTCGAAGAGTGGGAGGACAAAGTTAAACTTTCTGAAGGAAATAGCCTTTTAGCATTACAGGACAGAATGTTCCAGGTTTGTTTGGAAACCTGTACTTTCCTCAAATCACATGCTATGTAAGCTTCCCAGACCACTTTTCAGAAAGAGCCTTGGGTAGTGATGGTCTCACAGATGCCATTTAAAATGTCTCTGCTCTTCAGCTGTGTTTCAGAACTACAGGGGAAAATGGCAGAATCACAGAGTGGTTGAGGTTGGAAGGCACCTCTAGAGCTCATCCAGTCCARCCCCCTGCTCCAGCAGGGACAYMCAGAGCAYGKGGCACAGGGCGGCATCCAGGCRGGTTGGGAAGATCTCCAGAGAAGGAGACTCCACAGCCTCCCTGGGCAGCCTGTGCCAGGGCTCCTCTATCTTTATGTCCTGAGTCTCTGCTCTTTAAGTTAACCTCATGCTCGTTGCAGTTTTGTTGTTGCTCTGCTGGTTTGAACTGGAGAGATCTAAGGCATGTCTCAGCATTGATGTGTTTCAGACACGATCATATGCAGAGATCTCTCAACTTATTGCTAACATAAATCCAGAATGGCCTAGGAACTATTTTATCAAATGGAGCTTCTTAGATTTTTTTTCCTGAAATAATGTATTGCCATGGACTAATAACTTCTTGCTGCTTAATACGGAAACATAAACTGCTTAGAAATGGTTCTGAAGCAGCAGATGATTTTCTCTTTTAAGTTGGCTAATATTTATTTCTGAAAGTCCTGTATACTGACTTAATTTTGGTAAACCAAATAACTCACATTGATTTAAATGCCTCTGTGTGGATTTTAATGAAACAGACTAATAGTTTGTTCCTGATATATAAATATGTACCAGTGATTTCCATATTGCATCACAGGTTCTTTACAACATTAATGCATAAAAGACATTCAAAACACAACAATGTTTTGCATAAAAGTAATTCTTAACAAACATGTTGACCTTTGTTAAACAAACTTCTACTTGATTGGTAAAAAAAATTATTGTTAAAACAAAAATCCCGTAATGTGTTAATCGGTTTAATTGAGACGTTGAATAGCTCATCAGGTTTGTACATCAGCTTTATGTCTTTCTTTATTGATCTTTTGACTTCTTTTTGGCATTCCACTAAGGCAGCGCTGCTTGCTGCTTTCTGTGGCAGCTGTGAGTCATCATTAGCTAAAGATCAGCCCTGCAAGGTAATGAGAGTTAGAAGATGAAGATATTTGTCTTCAGCTGTATCAAAAATCTAGATAAATTCTCTATTAAAAAAAAAGCAAGGCAATGCTGTACGGAAGCACTGCCACTGAATAGCGAATGGACTGGCAGAGAGGCGGTTGTTGCGGGAGCAGCCCCTGTTGCCAAGAGCAGCATCAGGGAGCAGGGAGCATCAGCTCTGGCTGCCGCTGCCGGCAGGGGCGGAGAGGAGACAGCCAAGGTGAACGGAGCTTGGAGTGCAAGGACAGGAGAGCTCGTCGTGGAGAAATCCTTCCAGCCCCTGGCATGGTGAGTCTCTGCCTGCACGACTGCGTCTCCCGGAGGATGTGCTGAACACAGCCCTCTCATGGGGGGATTTAATCCTTTGGTAGGGCTCGCTCTCCTTACTCGACCGGTGAAGGAGAGGAGATGCTTCAGAGCAGGGATTCCCTACTGCAGTGTCACAGGGACAGGGCATCCTACTGGCTCCGCCTTGGAAGCTGCAGGGATGTGAAGCTCCTCTGTGCACAGTGTTCTGCCTGAGCTGTAATTCAGAGCYGTGTGGAATCTGGATGTGGTAGTAAAGAAGCAGAGGGTTTTGTCCGTGAAACTTTAAGATCAGCATTTGTTAACAGAAGTATCTACTTTTCTTCARTCTAATGAGGGCTACTGCTTAGAACACGGTTGAATTCTGTTGCTGAGGATGATGCATACTAAGCAGGTTCAAACACAAGATATCTGTCCCTATATTGATAAAACATAGAGGGAAGGTTCTGACAGTCCTTTGTACTAAAAATGTATAATATTTTTTAAGAAGCAATTTATATGCCTTTATTCCCGTGCTTTTTTTTTTTTTTATTTAGTTCCTCAAAATACGAAAAAAGGAAAACAAATATTATTTCAAAACATAGAACATTGCTCATAGTGGGGCAACATCTGCCTGAATTTACATGGGCTGTTGAAGTTGGGAGGGGTAGTTGATGTGTTTCCTTCAGAAGAGTTTCTACACAGGTGTCAGACTCTGCATTTAAGAGCCGAGTTTTAGAGCAGAAGGTACCCAAAAGTGCTAGTGAACTTTATACTGTTAACTTCTTTCTTCTTTATTTTTTTTTTCTATTGACATGTATGTAGCCTTCTTGGAAAGGAAATGATATACTCTTCTTTTAAAAAGTTCATGTTAATTTTAGCACAGCAGAACAGATAGCAAAATGTTTAATTTTGAATGCTGTGTTCAACAGAGCTGCAGCTGATTTTTCTAAAATTTAGGAATAGTTCTGAGATGTGAAAAACATGAGTTGTGATAGTATTGAGCCTGACATCTATGATTCTTATTCCATTAGAGCTGTGGCAAAGCTGTGCTTATGGTGTCTTGAAGCCTAAGARACTTTTATTCTTATTCCTTGGGCTGTTGTCTTTGGTTATTACTTAAGTTCTGGCTGTGTGTGGTCTCAACCGAAGTTCTCTTCATTATTTTTCTTTAACGTTTTCTCTGATTTAGTTATTTGCAATACACATTGATCTTGACTTAACAGATGACTCTGCTTTGTTGTGCCTTGAATTGCACTGATTGGTTTGCTGATTTTTTTGGTGTGTGTTTGTATTCCTGGGGTTTGCTGGATGAGCTCATTAAGATGTTTGTACACATGTTCCTACTACCATAGGCTACAAAGTAAGTCTCTACTTCAGTTTCCCAGCGCGTTTGGTTACCTAAGTTATGGTTGGTGCTGTTATTCTCAAGCCATGTGGAATTAAATATCAGAATATAAACATTATTCATATTTCCTGTGAAACTTMGGGAAGGAAAGGATTTTTCTACACCATTGTGTTCCTTTTCATAACATAGAATTTTTCTGTCATTACAGATCTCCTTTCCTGATTTTGCTATTAGTTTTTTTCCTGTAMTTTGTATCTATTTTGGGCTTGCTCTCCAGTTTGCCAGCACAGGTATTTGCACAGCATGTGTCGTCTTGTCTGCATGAAGCAAAACAATAGGTTTGTTCTCATTTTTGGGACRCTGTGCGGATCTGGGGACCTTGTTTTGCTGCTATTTCTCTGCTTGATGGAAGAATTGAGGCCAGAGTTTGTGTAGTTTGCTATTGCTGACCTTCATTCTAGCTTTTTCATGTTTCCAATTACGACTGCACAGGGTYGCCTCAAGAGAATCATCAGCCTAATCATCAGCTAATGTGTCTGCTCCTCAGTGACTTTGCACAGCCACAAAACTCTTAAGTGGAATTTTGTGCTTGCTCTCAGATTGCCTGGTTTAGATGCTTGCTGTTTATCCCTTAAAGATGTTGGCAGCAAGAAATGGGGTCCAAAAGCCTATTGACAGTCTAATCTGGGCTGTGYGAGAAGAGCCTGTTTTTGCCCTGGGGCTTTTTGTAAGCAGCCCTGGGGAGGAGCGCGCCGCACGCTGCAGGCTCCRTCAGACCAGCTCGGTCAGGCCAGCGGGCACCGAGCGATGGCCCTCCCTGGCCGAGGTTTGAGCCCTGCTTGTGTGGGGATTAGCCCTCTCCTGCCTCGTTATCCAAGAAATCCCAGCTGGAGTGGTAACAGGAAAAAGTCAGATCCTCCCCTGTCCCTCTGTTTTGGTACTGTTTTTAAGGAGTCAGGATATGACCTAATTTGCTTTATTTTTACTCTCAGACCCGTAAGTGCTGAGGCTGTTCTCATGCTTCTTACTAACAGCCTTCTGATGTCGAGTGGTTTGATCAGTATTTTGTTGTCTTTCAGTTTGTTCATTTCCCCTTCCAGACCGATCTGATGTTTTTTTTTTAAGGTATGTATTTGGATTACTGTGGTTGGACCCATTGTTCATTTCCAAACTGTGACTTCTCTCTTAACACAGAGGTGTGTGAGGGGATTGGTACATGGATGCGTGAGCAAAAGTTTGTTCTGGGCTTCTCGATAGCTGAGTAATTAAAATAAGTCAGTTTGTTTTCTAATAGTCTTGTATGGAACATTTCTTTGTTACAGCAGTTACTTTGGAGAATATGCAAATGATATAGCTAAAGTATAGCTAAACTTAGTAGTTTAGTTTCTGTTTTGATAATATTTTACAAATAAATTACATATGAAATGTCTGTACTTATAGTATGAATTCTTGGTAAGCAAGAATATAATCAGTGGTAAACAAATGCCATGTTGACTTCTCATCTGAACATGGATTAATACATCATTCCATGTCTCCTTACAGGCTCACAAACATCATTCAACAATCTTTCTTGCTGAATTATTGCAAAAAAATTATTAAAAAAATTATTGCAAAAAATAATAATAATAAATTCCAGTGGCTAGATGGCTGTGATTCTGTGACAAGCCAGTGTGCAGGGCTGAGAACAAGCAAGGCACAGAGTAACCACGTTGCTGTGGAGCTGCAGTGAACGTCTCCTTCGTGGGTGTTCAGACTGGGTGGTTTAATGGTCCCTTCCTGCCCAGGGAATCACTGGTGCCCACCTTGCAGCAAAGACKGTGTAAGAGGCTTCAGCTCGGAAAGTTGATCTGTTATTAAAGTAAATATTGAAAGTACCTTGCCAACAATAAATCAGGTATTAGACTGGCATAGCCCTATAGAAGTTGGATCTGTTAATAGCCTCTTTGAATGTGGCAACAGGGCGTTGCCGTCTTGGTTAGAAATCACTGAATGCAYGCAAAGAAACGATGAAGCAGTAGAATTTCACTAATCAATTCCAATCTAAAGCAACACTGGATGCATTCAGAAGATTGTTTTTAATAGAATTAGGCTGTTGTTTACATTTTTGAGTGCCGCAGTACACATGTTAGCTCGAGTCTCTAGATGATCTCGAATGCCGAATAATAAAAAAAAAAAAAAAAAAAAAAAAGTATGAGGTATTTGGAAGTGAAAAATGGCATGTCCAAAGGCATGTCCAAATGAACTTCAGAGAAGTTACACGCTCATGTGCCCTCTGTTCCCTGAAGATCTGTATTTTTCTTAGGACTCTTCTTACGATTCTTAATGAGTTTAGGAAAACAGTTTTTGAAGAGTGAAGAATTCTAATATATGCAAAGAAAATAATATTCCTTTGGATTTAGTAATAGACAAGTATCATTAAATATTACTTCTAATTTTGTTTTTCATGGGCAAAGAATTCAAACACAAATATGCAGTGTTATGAAACACTTAAATAAAAATATACCATTGGCAGGGTTTTAAATTCTATATGCCAGATGTTCAGCTAGATTACTTGTAACTATTTGAGTGAGGGATAGCTATTGAATGAGGGATAATTGCAGAAGGCATTATTATGACACAATTTTTGCCATATTAATCTACCTTTCTGTTGAATGTCCCCTCTCTTCCTTTGTCATCACTGTCCCCATTTCACCTCTTTGCATGTCCAGTTTCTGATCCCTTGGGCATTTTTTTTTCCCAAGCTTACATTTGCTCATTTAAACAGATATATTGCATGATTATGCAAGGGATTTGTTCCTAATGTCTRTAGTAAATTTTGGCATTTCAACCACAGCATTAATCAAGATTTATCACAATAATGGGCATTTTCATAGACTCAGGAAAAAAATTCTTTACCATAAGGGTAGTGCAAACCAGAACAGGTTGCCCAAAGAGGCCTTGGAGGATCCCGTTTGTCCTGGGTTTTGGGGCTTGGCTGATGAAACCGCGGATGACCTGGTCAAGTGTGGGCATCAGTTTCGCTTTCAAGCCRCAGTTTGGAATGGGTGATATCCGGGAGTCCCCTCCAGTCAGCTTTTTTTCCTGATTCCTAAAATTTRTAAACACAATTAGGGTATACAAACATACCAGGATATACTAATTGTCCAAATGTTTCATCCTTTTCCCTGGTCTGTTCTAATTTTCCTTCTTTCTTCTGATCTTCCACATCTTCCCACATTTCAGGGGTTGCATCTCACACTCTGTCTGCACTGTGTGAGCACCTGTGGGCAGACTGAATGACTCCATAGCCTTCATGGAGCCTCCTTTTGTACAGCTTAGTTTCATTTGAAAGAAATCTGTTTTGTGCTCTGCAATGTTGCATTGCAACATGAAGTGCAGAATGTGGGCACCATCAGGAGACACCTTGCAAAAATGCTCGGAGTTGAACTACAGTGTAAATGTAGAATCCCAGTTTGGCAAACTGGCTGTTACCAATGTAAATAATGCTCTCTTCACTCTTGCAAGCCTGAGACCTTTTTGTATGTGTGTGTCTTTTTTCTTTTCTATTTCCTTTTCACCATTTTTTTGTCTTCTGGAGTCTGTGGCTAATCAGTTTCAAGTGAGAAATTCAGACACTTTCATGGAGCCTGAAGATCTTCATAGATCTAAAGAGAAT